CAGCCAGGGAGGTGGCCTTGGAGCCCCGTGGGACTGTGCGGTGCCCGTCTGCTCCGGGGCAGTAAAAGGGGACAAGCACCTAAGTGCCCAGCTCTTTCCATCCTGTGCTGTGGGGACAGAGAGATCCTTTGGGCTCAAGGTCCCATCCTGCAGAGCCTGGTGAACCTCCCTAAGCGACCTGAATCCTCATGGTGAGCCCTCTGCCAAAGGAGGTTTGTTTGAAGAGGGTAAAGCAAACAAGTCTTTGCTGCTATCACTGGGTTGTGGGTTGACTTCTCTTGCCTTTGGAACCTCTCCCTGCAGCCTCCCAATTGCCCTCTGTCCCCTTGCACGCTCTGGCCCCTCAGCTGCTCACAGCAGAGCAGAAGGCTTCTCATGCTGCGCTGACCCGTCTGTCTCCCCATGACTGCCAAGGCACTGCCTGGGTCAGTTTTTTCCCTCCTCATGGTAGACAAGTCCTTTACTGAGCTCATTTATTCCTCCTCCTCAGTTCCCAGCGCTCCCCTTTCCCAGAGCCAGGCACATTCCTCCAGGTCCCACACAGGATCTGCCTTGGGGGCAGTGGGACCCACTGTTGATGCGTGGGGTAAGAGCTGGACCCCACATCCCTGCTGCCTTCCTGGCTGTCTTATTCAGCTACTGTTTTCCTGATATGGATCAGCACAAAGGACGGAAGCAGCAGTTGCTGTGGCCTTGCCAGCTTGGCAGGGCTGGGAGGGTCTGGGTCTGCCCTGTGCTGGAGCCCATTGAAATGAATGAAATGAGGGAAGGAGCAGAAAAAGCAGGACCAACAGTGGGGGCTTCATTGTCGTGGCTTTGTGGTGCCTATTCCCACCCCACTCCATCTTCCCCCTGCCCTAGGTGTGGAGTACACAGCCCTGCTGTGAGATGCTCCTGCACCATCCCCAAAACCACCAACGTGGGATTCTTGAGGCTGCTGCTTCCTACAGGCTTGTAATTGTTACAGCCAATGGCACATTGGCCTGGTGCACATCCACACACACAAACGCACCCGGGCTCCCCAGCCCTGGGGAGGGGATGGACCAGTGACAACCCCCAGAGCAGTGACCATCCCACCACACTCATGCACCCAGTGGAAAGTGCTTGTGTGCAAACAGCCCCGCTGGCAGCATCTTCCCAATGGGGATGTGCTGGCTTGGAGCAGGGAGGGATGTGACCTGCCGAAGCCTG